CCTATCTCCAAACTAAACATCTATTTTTTGGCACATTCATTTGTTATCACCACACAACGGAAACTAAATGTAGATGTTGGGCAACCGACTTGTTGTTTTATATTCCATACAAAATCTTACCTTAACGAAAAATGTATGTTGTTTTAATCGTCACACAACATTTAAGGACCCTGTATCGCTTTGCTGCAGTACCACTTCTGCCAGGTTGGTACTGACAGTAAAAAGTTATTCTTGGACGCAATTAATTAAGCATCATGCCATGAGTATGCACGGGGGAGTGGAAGTATAGCTCCACTGTTATTAACCTCGACACTGGACGGAGGTGAGACGTCAACTTCACTCTCCTGTTACCATACGCTCAAGGAAACAGCCCGCGGTACTCATTGAAAAGGATGCTGGGTGGGGCCCAAAGCCGGTCTGGACCCTATGAAGAAGAGGATCATTTCTTATTCTTATCGGGAATCGATCCCCGTCTCGTTGTTCGTCCACTCTGTGTCTAAGTCTATACCGACTTAGTTTTCCCAAGGAATTTACGAAAATTCGCAGTTCTTTCGGAAGTTATGGGCGTAGGATGGACACTCTGACATGATACCATAAATTTTCATTTTCTTACAAAATCTGGAACGTGAACTAAAGTAGTTGAGTGTGTGGGTTAAACATTCTCGGTCATATAAAATTCTTTCATAGAGTGAACAGTTTGAATAGCCGACAAAACCCGACATGGCGTCCGTCATTTTCTTTTAAATTTTTGAAGTACTAAATTGGTGCAGATAATATTTAAAAATTCAGTTCTTGCCTCATGACGAGGACACTACATCTCCTTTACAAAATTCAATTTGTTGTTGCTGTTTAAGAGAATCATACGAAACACATAAAGACACGGGCAACACGAAGATTTGCTTAATGATAAGGAAGGGGGTAGGTATAGTTACCATTGTGATTTGAAGTTGCGCTTCCCAGAGCGGGAACTGCGGCCCCTCACAGTGCCTGAAGCTTTGTCCCAGAGCCACCCAGAAAGGGGCAAATAAGAAACATACCAAATTAATTTTTATCCTAAAAGGCCATATTAAATTAAAAACGTGAAATTTAATGACAAGCAGAATTCTGTTTGTTGCCTGCTTCATGCTGGTTTCTTGCTTGGCTTACTCTTCAACGCAGAGAACTGAGGCGACGTGTTCCTCCGAAACGGCTGTTTGCTTTCAACGGACTACACTGGGTTATATCCCAGAAAACAGAACTCTTCATCATCGGAGCTCAGGACATCTTTACACTCCATTGACAATAACAGTAAAAAGTAGAAGAAACTTATAACTTTTGTTTTTAAGAAAGTTAAAGGCTTGCTCATTTGTTTCTGTTGACTGAAGCTTTCGAGTATTTTGACCAGTGCATCTGTTTACATTGTGCCTTCTGCTGCCAGATGCTGCTAATGTTCACACCCTTTTGCGTACACGTGCTTGTTTGCTTATTTGTTTGTTTGTTTGTTTCGCTTTTTTTGTATCACTTAGTCATGAATTCTGAAGAATCCATTTGGTAAGCAACGAGCAGATTGTTGCGGTGGTACAGCTCGAGAAATATCTTGTTATTGTAAGGTTTCATGCTTCTTCTCAGTCCCTCTAGACAAAAGCCGGGGTAGTATCTTCCAGTTGGTCAGGACCACTTTCTTCCACATCCTTACTTCCTCGGCACTCAGCACCTTTATATCTCATTCAGCGATATATAACTTATGCAACTGAAACAGTGTCTTTAAATTCCTCTAAAGCTTCAAATTAGTTCAATATAATGAATGAATGTATGAAGAGTGGGCCTTCTCGGCCCTTGCACCGCGACCTACAGTGGTCTATTTCAAGGGTCTCCAAACTACGGCCCGCGATGTGATTTTATCCGGCCCGCGAAAGAATTCTGCAGAAATGCGCCAACTGAACTAATTTTCCATTGAGTACTGGTAAATGTGATTCAGAGCTTATTGACCCGACATATTATACCGCAGTTCGATGGCTTAGCTGTGGAAAAGTTCTTTCGCACTTCTTTCAGCTCAGGAATGAAATTGATATATTTCTTACCGAGAAAAACCATCACGAACCACTTTTACCAGATACCGAGTGGCTTTGGAAATTAGCAATTTTGCTGATCTGGTGAACCATATGAACCATTTGAATTTAAAGTTGCAGGGTGAAAATAACTTAGTCTGTGATCTATTTGCACTTATCAAGGCATTCAGAGCAAAGTTGATACTTCTGGAAAGCCAAGTGAAAAATTGTAACTTTGTTCATATGCTATACTGTGCAGAGTTGCATAAAAAGGGTGAAGCAGAATTTCCTTCCTCATTTGCAAATTTAGTCATTTTAGATTTGAAAGAACAATTTCGGAAGCGATTTGCTGATTTGGATCCCAGTGCTCAGGAAATTAGATTGTTTCAAAATCCGTTTGACTGTGATGCTGCAGATGTCCCAAGTCAAATTCAAATGGAAATTATTGAACTTCAGGAAAATTATCATATTAAAGACAAATACAAGGAAGGAAATTTGATCGAATTTTATAAATTTCTGAACTCTGAGCAATTTCCAAATTTAAAGAAATTTGCTTGTAAATTTATCTCCATTTTTGGGACGACATATCTGTGTGAACAAACTTTTTCCCAGATGAAGTACATCAAGTCGAAATACAGGGCAAATTTATCCGATGAACATTTAAAGTCGCTACTTGTGATTAGCGTTTCAAAATTTGAACCTCAATTTAATCAGATTTTAAGAATGCAAAAAGAGTTCCATCATTCACATTAATTGTTTTATTATAATTTGTGATGAAAATATGAGCATTTGCTGCTACTGTCTGTTGTCATTGATATACGATAATTTATTCTCACGTACTTTGTATTTAGTTTATGAAATTCTGTGCTTTCAATAAAACTCATATACCTAGAGTTATTAATTTCTCATTTTATCCGGCCCGTTGAAAGTGCTGAATTACCTAATGTGGCCCGCGGTTCGAAAAGTTTGGAGACCCCTGGTCTATATGATACTTCAGTTCCTGCAAATCGCATCCCCATTACGGGGCCAACCTGCTGTTGCTTTTCGTTGTTCATTCCGGGAATCACATGAAACCCATAGAGGCGAACTTTCAGAAAACCAACAGTTCGTTCTTACAAACATTCACTCACTCATGGGCCTGAGCCCTTCTTGAGAAGCTGCCAATTGTGCAGCTAATCATGAACTTCCCAACTTTTATGGAACCCGAAGGTTCATTACCATGTTCACAAGAGACCTCCACTGGTCCCTATCACGAGCCAGATCAATCCAATTCAGACAATCCCATCCTACCTCTCTAAGATCCATTTGAATATTGTCCACCCACCTACGTCTTGGTCTTCCCAGTGGTCTCTTTCCTTCTGGCTTTCCAGAAGGAATTGCATTCCTCTGCTCCCCATTCGTGCTACATGCCTTGCCTATTTCATGCTTCTTGACTTGAGAGTCCTAATTATATTTGGCAAAGAGTACAAGTTATTAAGCTCTTCATTTTGCAGTTTTCTCCAGCCTCCCGCCATTTCATCTCTCTTCGGTCCATACGTTCTCGACAAAGTCCTCAGTCTATGTTCATTCCTTAATGTCAGAGACCAAGTTTCACACTCATACATAACCACAGGCAAAATTATAGTTCTCTATATCATCATTTTTATGTTTTTAGACAGCAGACGAGAAGACAAAAGGTTCTGGATTGAATGGTAGCAAGCATTACCCGAGTTCAATCTCCTCTTCAATTTCAATTTCCTCCTGAATCAGGTTTTGATTTGTTATAGTCGTTCCCAAATATCTGAACTGTGCCACATTTTCAAAACATCTGTTATCTCTCTTTATGTCATGATTTTGCCCTGCATTCTGGTGACGAGACAGCAACTTATCCAACAGAGATAAAATAGCGAACAGTGCTGCTGTCATGAAACGGTGTTGTATATTGCTGAAAAATGTCAGCTTGTCTTCTTCCAACTGCGGAAAGGCGTAGTTCTACAGCTTATCGAGTGAAATGTTCCCACTGATGATGAGCTCAGCAGAGGAAAACGTCCATAAACCTTTGCTATGAAGTATGCAAGATCTCACATTAATTTGATACACAGGAACATACGAATGGTTTCATCTTCTGGGAAATAACGCCATGTAGTCCACTGAACGTCAACTGATTTTTCGGAGGAATATGTTGCCTCTTCAGCCCTGAGGGTGGAGACGGCACGATCCTACGAAACATCGGTTGACCTTCAACAGACTACAGTGCGTTATATCCTAGAAGGCAGAAATTTCGTAACCACCGCTGTGAGAACTTCATATCCTAGACAGGAACATGACACGGCATAATATTTTCTAATTATCCTTCATTTCTCTCTTTTTTCAATGCGCATAACTGTCAAGAAAGTACAGCCTCCTAAAACCTTCGAATGACCCTTGGGACAGCCTGCGTTGAAGAGATTGCTAGTATCCGTCACCGTAAATAATTGATGTAAACATTGTTACACAGAACCTCGAGGGTGGCGAAATCTTGTGAACACTGTGTTCAGCCTGCGGGTACGATAAAGACGGGTAGTTTCTTGATTATCTAAGCGACTGTAATCTTCCCAGTGACTTTGCTACATGCAAGTAATTAGTTTAGGAATCGCTACATAGGCCTAGAGGGAGATTTCAGAACACCGTAGGATGGGAAAAGATATTTAGTGCCGATGGCACGGAATTATAAAAATGCAAGGCGAAGAGTAAATGCGAGGGAACGCCAAAGAAACTGGCAACCGTAACGCAACCGCAGTTTCCGAGAACTGTTATCAGCCTGAGTTGAACACATGTTACTTAATGGAGCAGCGTAAATTGAGGAAACGGCAACGCCAAGGTGCCAATTAGGAGGATATCACTATAATTCCGGCGCCTCTTCTGAGTTTTCCATTTACTTCTATGAGTTTAACACGTACCATTAAATCAGTTTGTATGAATTAAAGTATCTGCCAGAGAAATTCCTCAACTTACCGTGGTGTGGACAGCGCCGGGCGGTCGCACGCACATGTTCACTGCACTAAGCCACCATCATGTGTGTTCACATGTCACTACACGACGGTACTTGACCGTACTTGACTGCCTTTAGAAGGCCATGCTTCGTTGAGAATTCCTCCCGTCCGGTGGCGCCACCGTTACGCGTTTGGCTTTGCATGCTGTGCACACTGGAAGGATGTCTTTCAAGGACGCGTCAATTTTGCACTTAATTCACGACAATCAGAACATCAATTTAATTTCTTTTAGTGTAAAATTGCGAAATTTTCTACGGTGATAAGATTTTAAAAAATGTTAAACTTCTGATAAAGCTGTTTTATATTCCTTCATTCATCAGTAATCTGTCAAGACGACAGGTCCACAGTCTCTTCCAAAACAGTTCCTCCACTTAATGCGATCTTGAGCTTTCTCCTTCAAATGACAATATCCTCTTCTGTCCCCAAGGTCATCCAGCATCTTCTTACGTCTTCTTGTCACTTATATATAGAATATAAAACAGTCAGTACAGGACCTGTGTAACATTTGAGGTTTTCACGGCGGCAACTATGAAGAAAGCAGTCTTCTGGGAAGTGGCGCCGTGTAGATGTGCTGTTAACCGACGTTTCGGAGGAACGTATCGCTCCATCTTCAGGGTTTTTTCGCTTGCGGATTTCCTTATTTTTCCTTCTACCCTGAAGTAGGAGGCGATACTTTCCTCCGAAACGTCGGTTAACACCATATCTACACAGCGCCAAATCCCAGAAGATTGCTTTCTTCAGTACAGGACCTGTTGACAAATTCAGGGGAATGTCACAAAATTTGTTATATAAACTATGTACGCCTTCGTAAGTCCGACGTCTTTAGTGCATGAGGACCTTCAGCCCCAGAATGAATAAGTACTTCCCCTTTTCCAGCCCTTTATTCCTTTCATTTATCCGTTTCGTACTTTTATCTCCTTCCATATTCCTGCCATATTAGGTGGGTCCCATGGCACATTGCGCGTCCTCAGGTTGCAGATGGAGGAGACGCCCTCCAGGTATGGAGGGAAGCCGTGAATATACTGAATAAGCAGTCGCTGACAGCGGACAAGGGGTGGTCCTCCAGCTTGGGGGTTGGGCTTGGGGTCAAAACTCCTCACCGTAAAACATAAGCTTGTTACAGAAATGTTCAAAGAACCTCGGCCTTGTGTACACTTCTCCGAGTATACGTAGAATGATCAAGTCAAGAAGGATGAGTTGGGAATGGCATGTTGCACAAATGGGGCAAGAAGAATTGCATATAGGATATTGGTGGGAAAGTCGGAAGGAAGGAGACCACTGGGAAGACCAAGGCATAGGTAGGTGGACAATATTTTGTAAAATTGATCTCGGAAAGATAGGTTGGGATGGTATGGATTGGATCGATCTGGTTCAAAATAGGGACCGCTGGAGGCCTCAGGTGAGCACGGTAATGAACCTTTGGGTTCCAAAAATGCTGGGAGGTTCCATATTCCTTTTCCACACCATTCTTTTGGCCAGCCTATCATTAATTTTTTCTCATTTCTAGATGGCACACAAAGGCAAACATTGACCAGTTGCAAAAGTGACTCTTCTTTGAAGATATGTAGAAGCAGACATAATTGAAACGTAATGTAGAACTGACTATGGAACAAATTTGATAGATTTAATTTCTCACGTTGAAACAGTTTCCGTAAACATGGCTCAAAATATGCCATTAGAACATGACAACAATCAACTTTATCAATGCCATCTGTCAGACACTTAAAGTGTGATGCAATTATCAGAAACATATTGCTTGTATACAGTTTTAGTGTTTCTGGACATTATTCACCGTCCTGTTTTTATTTAAAAAAAAAACATTTTGGAGACTGAATTCTGTGTCCATCTTCAAGTTGAACCTACTCAGTTGGGCCCAATTGAAAGAGGTAGTCTCTAACACTGACCACCAGCACCAACAAAAGGTAGGGTATATAAACCAAGTACTGCACAAACCATGTGGGAGAGTTAAGACAAATATTAAAAACATTAAGAAAACTCCCTACACATGCGGCCTAGCACCTATGGTCCTGCACTATTTCATGGCTATTGTTGTCAAAATCAGAGTACTGTCAACAACAACAGCCGTGAAATAATGCATGTACATAGGTGCTAGGCATCATGTGTGTGAGCTTTTTAATGTTTGTCGTGACTCTAGCAGATGGTTTTTGCTGTGCATGGTTTATATATCCAATCATGTGCTGATGCTGATGTTCAGAGATAGGGAATAGCTCTACGGATTAGGCCCAACTGAGTATGTTCCACCTGAAGAGTGAGACAACATCCAGTCTCCAAAATCTTCCTTGGGGGGTAAAAGGTGGTGGGCATGTAAGGCTGACAAGCTTACCACCATCTGTGAGCTGATTGTCTGTAAAATGTGGGAGCCTTGACATCTCACAACCCTATGGGCCTTCACGGCCTGTTACAGGGATAGAACCACAATAATTGTGTTAATATACCACCATCATAAACTTTTAGATCATATTGCTTACTGTAAGGTATATTGAACTATAATATACCATAACCTTTTCATTTAACACTGATAAATAACTTAACCATTGAAGCTGATCCTGTGAAAATTAGTATGTTGATTGATTATAAACATACCTCCAAAATTTGCATGAAACTTCTGTGCCATTCAGAGTATGAATATGGCAGTGTTTGTAACTTTGATGAATGGAGTGACAACTCTGATGTAATAAAACCTAAAAACAAAGTTTTCTTCCTCCTGATTCTTGCTGGCTACTTTCTTGGCATACGCTTAGACCTGAATATACAAGTAGTGTTCCTCTGAAACATCGGTTAACATCTACAGGACTACACAGTGATACAGCCCATAAAATAGTGTTCTTCAGTGAAGTTTTATTTATAAATATTATGGATCATAATTTTCTTGCTTATAGTTCAATATTTTTATGTTTTAATGATATGTATTTTTGATGGATGGTTTCTTTGCTTTCTGTACAAGGGGGTACCCAAAAGAAACCGAACTTATTTTTTTTTAAACTTATTTATTCAAATTTTAAGCACAAACCTTCAATTCCATTCAAAGTACTCTCCACTTACACTAATACACTTGTCTAGTCTTTTATTCCATTTTTCAAAACATTGTCTAAATTCATCTTTTGAGATGCTTGACAGCGCCTCCGTCGTTTTTTCCTTTCATGTCTCTTTTCACTCACGGAA